GAAGTTTGCATAGCAAGAAACCGCCAGGGCTTCACTGCACTGGATATTTGGTTCCCTCCAGGAAGGGAGGGTTTGCAGCAGGGTGCAAAAAGTTCATTAGACACTGCTGAGACATGGACGGCCTCTCTCAGGAGACTATCTGGTTACCTTTGCTCTGATGCTATGCACATCAAAGAACCTTCTGATGATTTATTCAGCTCCTCGGGGTCCTACATGCAGAAGTAAGTGTGTGTGCTCAGTCCAGGATTCAGGGTCACTGGGGCATCTGCTGTCCATGACAAAACAGGGCAAGAATATGGTTGTTGATGCCTCACAACAGAATCATTACCCTACTTGTGATTAGACACGTGGCCTCAACAGCAGTACTCAGTATTCACTGGGAGCTTTGGCTTCTGGTCTCGTGAAACAGAACTACTATTGGTACCCAGAAAAGTGGGGTGGACATATTGAGATAGAAGTATTTGAGCTCTTCCAGTATAAATATCATTGTTCCCCGTTCTCCCCTTTGCTCACTTCACTCCAGTGACCTGGCCCCACAGTGTGCTGCAGTCTTTCCACAGCTTTCTCCCAGGCTGACCCTCTCTTTGGACTTCCCTAAGTCTTCCTTCCTGTTCTCCACCTGCCCCGCTCTTTCTCAGTCATCTAAGAAAGGAACTCCCCCCATGGAAATCATCTTTTTTCCTCAGCCAGTTCACTGTCTCTCTGGTCGCTAGCACCCAGTTCTTCACTGAACTTGTCCGTGTACAGCCATGCACTTACTTGCCTGTTTCCCTTATTGTGATCTTTCTTTCCAGATTATAAACTCCATGAAGGGGGTTTCTTGTCAGTCTCCTTTTCCACCATCTTCTCGGCGCCTCACACAGAACAGGCACGCAATATTACTTGCTGAGGAAAATGAGTGTTGTGTGAATGTAAAGCATCCAGTTCCCATAGTATGAATAAAATTGTTGAACTCTTTGCTAATACTGCAAAGAGTCTGAGTAGTTTTGGTTAGTCCTGGGTGGCTCTGAGTTCTCACCCTAGTGGCCTGGCCTAGGCATTGCAACTCCATTTCTTCCATGTGTATTTGAGCATTTTGAAAGAGGGCTTTCCTTCAAGAGGCCAAATTGACACTGGAGGAAAACAAGTGGGGAGAGCAGCAAGGATAAGGAGTCCCCCCCAGAACCCTTTAGGTTTAATTTGTCAGGTGACTTAAGAACAAGAAAGGAGTATGGTTACGATGTAGCTTGAACCAAGGAGTATGGTTACAATGTAGCTTGAACCAAGACATCGTCTTCCCACTTTTCATCAATTCTCGGACCGCTTGAAATAGCACGGGTGATCTAAACTAAACCTTTTTGTCATCATTTTCTTCCCCTCTCGTGTGTCATTGCAGTATACTTATTTCTACTATTGGCCATGTCCCTGCTCATCTTCAAATCCCTCTGCATTTATTTCCCCATTATTCATAACACAGTGTGAACTGGATGCCACTACATAAGTTGACCGTTAACTCACTCCCATTTGATCCCCTCTTTTGCATTGCGCAATTTGCTTTCCAGCCTCTTCAAACAGATCCCACAGGCCCCCCGGCCCCCACCACACACGCCACATGGTGCTTTCTCATGGCCGCTTTCATGCTTTGAATCCGAATGTCTCTGCCTGGATCGTGTCGAATGTCACTTCTGTGAAGTCTTTCTTTATAATGGCTCCTTTGCCCCTCACCTGCCATCGCTGCATGCGTTTCACACCACTGGAACAGTCTCTGCTCCCTCTCCTGTGCCCTCTCTCCAGAGTGAGTTTCTTGCAAATAAAGATGGTACCTACTCAACATTACCCCATAGCCCGATAGGGCCTCAAAGAGACCCTGGCCCAAGTGAGCACCTTATCTAAGATGTCTCAGAGTCCAAAACCGAAAAATGAATCTTTTTTGCAAAGGTAAAAAGGGGTACTTTCATTTCTGTGTCCTTCTCAGCTTCTTCTCCTCCAGAAGACTTATTGATCCAGCAAAAAGCAAACAATGGAGGTAAAGGGAGGTTGGATTGGAAAGCATTCATTTTTGCCTCTGCTTAGTCAGTACAGTTCTTTTCTGACGACAAAGGACCCATGTGTTGATCAGTGTGATTCCTATCTCAGCAAGCAAATACTGAGTATTAACTCCTAGGCCTCAGCAATGCAGCTAACTACAGAAAGTCCCCTTTGTCATTACCAATGAAGTTAGTTGCTTATAGAAAAGTCTCATCTGGAACTACTTTCTCTGCCTCCTGAGTGCTGGGATTAAAGGCGTGTGCCACCAACACCAGGCCCCGGTAGACTCGCTTTATGTAAGAAGATGACCTCTTGCATTAGTGAAGGCAGGAAGGGATGCTCTTTGCAGCTGGAGGTATGACTAATCCAGAGGCTTAATTCTTTAAGGAACACTAATTGGGAAGCAGGTTTTAGAACTTTGTTGTGGGCCAAGTTCAACTTTTGGGGAACTATCTTTGGTTATTTTGTATTATGCACTAGGGCATGGATGAAATATATTCCACTAGAATAAATTAAGATCTGGAACCAGGTTGAAGGAAGGTTTTAAGTTTAGTTGTTTATCCAGTTATCAAAACATTATTTTATGACCACCCACTATGTGCCGGGAATTATACTAGGAACACAAGGATCCTCTGACTAACAGAGTTTTAGTCTTGACACACAGACATTCACAGATGCTCACATTTTCACATTTTCATAAGTGTGATAATGCTCCAAGGGGGATTATTCATTCCACAAGAACATGGAACCATAAAGGAACATTTTATAGAGAAGATACCACTTAAGCCAAGTGTTCTAGTTACTCTTCTTTGCTGTGAGAAAACACTCTGGGCATAAGCAACTTGGAGAGGGAAAGGATTTATTTTGGCTGCACTTGTACGTTGTAATCCATTGTATAAAAAACACAGCACGAACTCATACCAGGACACCATGTAAACTCAGAGAACAGGTGAGGGTGATCAAGGGGACCAAAATGAAAGTCTGGCCAGAAGGAAGAGCAGAATAATATGACCAGCAGCTTGGAAATCTAAAATGACGTGAGACCCAGACTCATACAAATGTACTTCTGATGATGATCACGTGGCGTCTGATTTGGGCCATTTTGTCACAGAGCTCTTAGAAGGTAAATAAAAGATAATACTATCTCCATGCGGATGTCCCTATTGATTATACAAGCCCTCTGTGTATCAATTAATACTACATACATACATATGTATATAAATAACTTAGAAGGGATTCATGACTTTATGGGCCACTGACTTCACCCCGAGTGCTGTCTGAAGTGTAACATACTGAAAGTCCATAGCAGAATTGTGTGTATAGCCATTAGCTGATTTTCTGCTGTTTAAAGTTCACCAGAGACCATTGTTGAATATCCTCTAGTTTTTTGACCTCTTTGGGTTAGAATAGTCAGGATTTTAAGAATGTAACTCAAAATATTAGTTGAAAGGGACAAACGTGGGGATAACTTGAGGACTTTTTGTTTTTTCCTCCTTTTTTAGTCAGCTGATGAGTGGTATGGCATTTCTGCATTGTGCTGCTGTCTGGGCCTAGTCTAGCACTGCAGGTTATCAGTTCCCCAGACTGTGTACTTTTCTACTTTGTTCTTGTTTAACTTCCAGAGCCCCACCCCAAAGTGCTTCATTGTCCCTCTGCTATTCCTAAATATGGTCAAAATTAACTCACCTTCCGGGTTGCTGACACCAGCAAATTCACAGTTTGGCAAAAGCGCCTTGGCTCCCAGGAACTCTTTGTTCAAGAAGCATTATTACAATGGAGTATGTTTGATACCCAATGAGCCTATCCAGGCCCCTACAGACCTAGATGTACTCCTGAGAAACTGTATTTGGATTTATCACCACAGGCACTCCTAAACCTGTTGAATACTGGAGCACGGCTAATGAGCAAACAGCCAGGCTTCAATTAGTGGTTGGTGAAGTGTTTCTGGGTATCAAATTGCTTTTGCTGCTTGATAATCACAGCAGCTCAGGGGATGAAAAGAAACCAGGCAAAAAACTATTCCCTTGATAAATACAAACTTGTTGATAACCTGTTGTGTCTGTAGACGCGATCCAAGTTTTCAGTCTCCCCAGAGCTGAGGTTTAGATTATGGATGTATTTGGCCCGTTACAGATGTAATCAGTGCTGGGCCCACTTCTCATGTGAATTTGCCCCCATAGTATTTATTATAGCATCTTCCTAGACTGGCTCTATAATTATTTAAGCCAGCCAGATTACTTTGAAACAAACTAAGACACAAACATGGACTTGTCACATTGGTCACTTCCTTGGTATTGGGAAGAGATGGGGGGTGGCAAAAGGGAAGGGGGAAGGAGGGGTGGAAGAAAAGATCACCTAGGCCCTGGTTTAGCTCGACTCTTCCTAAAGTCTTTGCTTCTAAATTACTAAGTTTAGAATGCAGTAATGTAACCCCAGAAACTTGGATAACCTTCAGTATATGGTTTAGGAATTAGAGTAAGTAGCAAAGGGAAAGGAATTCAAGATTTTTTAAACCATTATTCGAGTATTTATTGTGACAAGAATGCTGTTATAAATATGCACAAGCAAAGGCCATCTTTCTCTAGGAACTGTCAGATTCCACGCTGGAAGGAGACATCTACTGTAAAAACTCCCATGGGGTTCTGCTTTGAGAAGAAACATCTATTGCTAAATCTCTACTATGATTATAAACGATCACAGCACATGCCACTTGATATAGCTCTAAACTGAAGTGCCTGCCTTCCCAATGGGTTGTCCCTCTCCCGTGCAACACCCGTGTCTTCCAGCCTCTAGAAACACCATAGCATCTTCTGGTCAACAGTCTGGACTTGTGGGTTGCTGGGGGAGAGAGTACGACCCAATGATAGCATGCAGGACATCTATTCCTACGGTCAAACAGAGAACACAGCTTTTACTCTAGCGAATTTGACAGTCAGCTGTTATTCCATCTAGCTACCATTATCTATGGATAATGCAGCAAAGAGGTTGGGGGCTACTTTTCAATAGTTTATTGTATTTTCTTAAATATCCTTTCTGGAAATTTTCAGAAACAAAACATAAAAAAATTATATACTTTATTACAAATGGTAAACTCAGAATGCTTCAAATCTCTTATTTACAAACAACACTGGGCAGGACACCCAAACAAACAAACATGGAATAACTTACAAAGGCAGGAAGCTGTTTATTGACAGTAATCAGCTTTCATCAAATTAAAAAAAATATATATGTACATACACAGTTGAGGGAGGCAGGCCAGGGGAGTTCATCTGCAGTCTAGCCTGGCACTCACGAGCCTCCCTCCCCTCCCTAGCCCTCCCTGCTTTGTGTTCTAAAGGAGCACTACAGAAGCAATCTACAAGTCTCTATTGCAGTTTGTAAGCCCCCCGGCCCCCCTTTAATACTGAATGAGATCGAATGTTAGGTCCATGCAGTTCTTGGTCAATGTTAAAGAAAAGTTCATCGTTCTGGTCGCGCGGGCACAGCCCGTTCGCAAAGCCTGGCAGCCAACAGGCCGCCCGCTCTCTGGCTCCATGCCAAGGCAAGGCGCGCCACGTCCTTCCCACTCCAGCACACTGGGGGCGCCGTCAGGACGCAACCCAGTCCATCGCGTGTACCTTTGGCTGCGGTACTCGGGCACTTTGTTGTTGTTTTTTCTTTCGCAACCAGTCAAGTTCTCGAGTCTGTCTTTGTTATTTTTTTTTCTTCCGTTGCCCCTCGGCCCTGACAGTCTGTCCTCAAAACGTTTGCAACTGCTGTGTTAGCATGAGCTGGCACCCACTGTTAACGTGGTTCATGACTTTCTGTTTAAGCTGTGCCACCTGTTCCCTGAGCATGTTGGCCGTGGACGCCAGCTCCGAGTTTTGCGCTTTCAAGGTTTTCACTTTTTCCTCTAGCCGGGCGATCCTCTCCAGCTTCCTTTTCCGGCACTTGGAGGCAGCGATGCGGTTCCTCATGCGCTTCCTCTCGGCCTTGATCCGCTCCTGTGACTCCATGTCGATGGGGGACAGGGGCGGGGTCTCTCCCGGCATCTCGGGCACCGTCTGGGGCTCTTCCTTCAGGGCCTGCAGCCGCGGGTGCTGCACCGGGATCTGTTGGGGCAAGTGGTGCGGCGGCGGCTGCGGCGGCTGCTGCTGGGGCTGCGACGGGGGGAAGGCCAGCCCGGCCGCGCCGTAGGAGGGCGCCCCGCCGCCGCCGCCGCCGCCGCCGCTCAGCGCACCCGGGTTGAAGTTGCTGAGGTTGGCGTAGACCGGAGGCTCACTGTGCAGGCTGGCGCTGTAGCCGCCGCCGCCGCCAGCGCCCGCTACCGAGGCCACCGCGGGAGCCACCATGCCCGCACCGCTGACCGGTTGTGCCGCCGACGTGACGCTGGGCAGCGTGTTCTGGCTGTGCAGTTCGGCCAGGGCGCGCACGAAGCCCTCGGCGAAGCCCTCCTGCTCGTCGGTCACGTTCTTGGGGCACAAGAACTGGGTCGGGGTCGGCGTGGTGGTGATGTGCCCATTGCTGGACTGGATGATCAGGCGCTCCAGCTCGGGCGACGCCAGCTTGAGCAAGCCAACGTCGGGCGACGTGAGGAGGTCCGAGTTCTTGGCGCGGAGATGCGGCTTCAGATTGCCCACCGGGTCGGCCAGGTTCAAGGTCATGCTCTGTTTCAGGATCTTAGGGTTACTGTAGCCGTAGGCGCCGCTCTCGGACTGGAGGAACGAGGCGTTGAGGGCATCGTCGTAGAAGGTCGTTTCCATCTTTGCAGTCATAGAACGGTCGGTCAGCTCACGCGGGGTTGGCCTGGGCTGTGCGCTGAAGTTTCGGGGCCGCAGCAGCGCGCTGGGAAGCGGGGGACACCCGCGCGTCCCCGCTTCGGTGACAAGTAAAGTTTGTCTAGGAGCGCGCGCCCCGGTCGGCGGTGCTCCCCCCTGCGCCCTCCTCCCCAGCTCGCTCCGGGGAGCGCAGGGTTAAGACGCCGCCTTCGCGCACGTCGGCCGGCTCCCGCGCGCTGCCGGGCTTTGAAAAGTCGCGGTCACTCACGGAGCGCTCTCGGGTGGGTAGCCGCAGTTCCTCGGGAGACCGCCGAGCAGCTCCCGGCAGCGGCGGCGCTCTCCGGCGGCGGCGCGGACCGGTCGTCACGGAACTGTCGGTGGAAGCCCGCGATCGGGCTCCGCCGCCCGGACTCCGACAACTGTCCCCTCCTCCGCTGCGAGGGGGAAGGGGACGCTCGGCGGCCGCGGCTAGCGCTCGCCCAACTTCAGCCGCCTGTGCGAGCGGGGCTGAGTGTAGGTTCTTCCTCTTCTCCCCTTCCTTTACCGTCTCCGGGGCAGCCTAAGGCGCAGGAAAGGTTTGCAAAAGTTCGCTCCGGGCCACTCTGTTCCCGGCCTTCTGGCTCAGGAAAGTTGGTGGCCGGCGTAGCCGCTCGCCTGTTTCCTCGCGCGGGCAGCCGCCGCTCTCGATGCTGTCAGCAGCGCCGGGACCTGCGAGCTTCTTCTCCGGGGAAGGCGGGAGACGGGACTCTCCGAGTGCTCCCCAAACACCGCTGCCGTGGGCGCTGGATCCAGGTAGTTGGTGAGAAAATGAAGTCAAAAGGATGAGCAGCCCGGGGTCCGCGGCCGTCCAGACTGGCCGAGTCCGTCCGTCCGTCCCTCTGTCTGCCTCTGCTCTCTCTCTGTCTCGCTCTCTCTCTCTGCCTGAGCGCGTTCCTACCAGGACGTCTCTGCCACACTCAGTGCAACTCTGAGTCCTTATCCAGCCTGAGCTCAACACTTATCTGCTACCAGTCAACCCCTAAAAATAGCCCATGATGTCACCCCAAGGCCTTCCCATTGGCCTGCGTCGCTCTCAGGGGGGCGGGCCCGCCTGTCGCCATGGAGACCTCACCCCAGAAGATTCTTCTCCGGGCCCGCGGAGGCTCACGGGATGAGGTAATGCTCCGCTGCGCTCCTACAGTTGGGCCCTTCTTTCTCCTCCTCCCTCCCCCTCCCGCGCGGCGCTCGGGCTTGCGTTCCCGGGTTCCCTCCCCGGCGCGTCTTTCCCGGCCCGCCCGGTGCATTGTGGGCTGACGTCTTGGTTTGGCTGTCTAGTGACGGAGGCTGCCGGCTTCGGCTGGACCCTTGCGGCGTCTGTCGGAGGCGGGCTCAAGTTCAGGGTTGGGGACGGGGACCGAGACGCCGGCAACCAGAAAGCTGGGGAGGCTCGCTAGTGGCCCAGGGTGGAAGGCCTGGGTGGGGAGTGGAGGTGGCGCGCGCGCGCACACACGCGAGCGAGCACACACACACACACACACACGTGAAGGGGCTGAGAGACCTGAGCTCCAGCAGGCTCCGCACCCCCACACTTCCGGGAGGCAGCGGCGCGGGAGGAGATGGTTGTGTGCGCCCCGGGTGCGGGAGCGCCAAAGTGGGTTGAAGTTGACCGGGCTTGCGTGCGACCCTCCCCCGCTGAGCACGCGGGGACGTTCGTCTCTTGCTTAAGTTCCGGAGGAGGATCTGTGCCGCTGTGTGCTCTACCTGGAAGCCGGAGGTTTGCGGGGCTAGGAACCCGACTCCTCTGGGTCCTCGGCCCAACACCGCACCCTCTGGAGACACGCGGGGAGGGGCTCGCTTTGCCTCAGAGGGACGCGCTTTCTAGATGTGAAATAAAGGTGCGACCCCAGCATCCATGGGGGGGTCAAAATCAACATTTAAGGGTTCAAAACTCGGGGAACCCCAGCGAGCGCCTGTGCCCGAGCGAGTCCCGCGCATACGCAGCCCGCGCCCGCCCTTTCCCCCCTCCCGATTTGCTTCTGGGAAAACAAGTCTTGAGAGCCGCCGACTCGCCCGAAAGTCACGCTGCCTAAGCGGGAGTCCCTGGTAAAAGCAGGCTAACGTCTCCCCTCCCCGCCCGCTGGTGGATCCATATCCTGTGTGGCCTCTAGGAAGCGCTAGACACATGTAAGTGGCTTCTTTCCTAGGTCTGCTATCCGACCTCCATCCTCCACCTCTTAGGACTAAAGAGGTGGCAGGCTCGGTTCTCTCATGGCCTAACTGCCAATCTCGGAACTTCTCTGAGCTTTATTGGCCTCATCTCTGCAAGTAGAGCGGATGAGGTCCACCGTACCGGGCTGCCAGGCATTAGTGTTATCTTGACTCCAGGACTAGAAGCTGGTCAACTGGCTGTCCCCTTCCCTGCCGGCCTCGGCATCCACCCTGTTATTTGGCAGGGGCCGGTGAGCAAGGTAGCAAAGGGATGTTAGCCAGCTCTTCCCGAAGCCCCCTTTCAGCCCAGGACTTGAGGTTTGGAGTTGGCCCTTAAGTACAGAGGTTCTAATTCGGATTTTGCTGCCTCAGAACTGGAGCCCTAAGATATTTTGCCTTTGAGCATTCAGAACCCAATAGCAGCTGGTATCGGTGGGAAACCGGCCAGGTCTTTTTCACTCCGCGTGAGCTCACTTTGCTTTCACTCAGGCTGCAGAGGGTAGCTAACTGGCTGCTGCCAGCCAAGCTCTGACCTTTGTGAGGGTAGGGTAGGGCAAGGTTTCTGTGAAATCCAGATCCATTTACTTCCCCCAAAGAGAGAATGAGTTCCCCTAATCGTTTTTGTCAGGGAGCTCATATTCTCCATGATTTATGATAACAGTAGTAAAAATAAGTTTTGTCCATTAAACACCCATTATCTGCCAGTCAGTCCAAGCAGTTTAAGTATGCTGTTTTCTTCCCACAACCATCTTGAGGGGCATACATTTTTTACCTCGACTTTACACAGGAGGAAATAATTCCAGAAAGTCCATGTGTCTTGCTTGGGCTACACAGACAGCTGGAAAGTGACCTCAAGTCTGCGTTACATTCCTTTGTATCTTCTCCACTCTGGCAAACTTACCCTCACAGCCTTGGATATCTGCTTGGGAAGTGGTGTTGCTGGCATAGAAGTTGCCCTCTTTTTTCCTGTATTTAGAGACTCCCAGGCTTAGGACTTTGCATAAAAAGGGTCCTGTGCATCTTCTGCCTCCTGTTGCTTAGGAGGCTGATTTTCCACTTAGGTTAAGAAAAAGCACATCTCATCCAAGGTGAAAAGGATGTGCTCTTGTTAATGCCTCACGAACTTCCTCTTTGCCTGGGAGAAGGGGTTTTTCACAGTCCAGCCAATACTCTCTAGCCTAGTCTTGCTGGAAGCCCCGTTGGGAAGGGCTGAGCTGCCCCAAACCGATCATCCCAGAGGCTCACTCAGTGTATGGCTGTTTCTTGCTCCCTCCCTCTGCTTCCTCACTGTGACTGAGCAAGGAACGCTGTCCACTGTCCTGCTTCTCACCAGTTGTGACTGAAGTGGGAACTGGGCAGAACTCTGCCTGGCTCTCAGTGTGTCCACCTGGAAGTGGCACCTTTCTTTCCCACATGCCACTGGCCAAAGTCAGTCACAAGGCCATACCTGAGACTGAGGGTCTGAAAGGGGTCCTTCCTGACTTCTTTACTTCTTCAAGGGAATCAGCACCAATGACCCTTCAGTTACAGCATGAAGTTCACATCCAGGCTTTGAGAGTGTAGAGAGACATCAGGTCCAGTTGTGTGTCTTCCTCTGAGGGAGAGCTAGCTACCCTGTCCTCCTCTACTTCCTAGCCCCCCTTTCCATTCAGTGTATATGATGGGGCAGAGACAGAGGCTCAGCTTGGGAAGGGAAGGACCTGAGGTTACAGTAGATGCTAGCCCCTGAGTGTTTTCAGGATTCCTCTCCATCCACTCCTGCAAATAGGACCTGGTTCTGCTTGTATGGCCCCTTTCTGTGACCCTGGGTTTGCCTTCAGTCTTCCAAAGACTTAATGAAGGCCTGGACTTTAAAAATATATATAAGGGATCCATTGTTTAAGTCTTGAAGATGGTCTTTTGTAATGCGGGTTGATTGTAATTCCCACACAAGTCTAGTTTCTTGTAGGATACAAGATACACCATGTTTCAGTAGCCACTGGTCCCATTCCAGTGGTTTGCCCTGTTTCTTTGCTTTCTTACTCTTCAACCTCCTGTTCTGCTCCTTTCTTTCCTCTTGCTTCTGGCTTGGTTTTGAATATGTTAGGCTTAGAAGATGGGGAAGTTGTGCCTTCTTTTCCTCTCCAGAGTTTAATGAACATATTAGTGTATATTGAGGGGTTGGCTTGGTTGGTTTGAGACAGGGTGTTGTTAGAGCCCTTAAAGACCACCCGCCTGCCTCCAACTCCCAAACACTGACAGTGCTCACCATCATGCTCTCTGTATCTTGAGAGTTTAACAATAGGTTCTTACCCCTTAAACAGATCCTTGCTCCAAGGCTGACTTCTCCAGGCCCTTCCTTATTCATTTACTGCGAAACCCCATTTTTTGGATTTTCTATTCCATTTTGTTCCTATTTACAATGTGGCCCCATCTACCTTGAACTCATTTCAGAAGTCACCTGCCAGTGCTCCTGACCTGAGGTTACAAATCTCTTGCTTTCTCTCATTAGGTTCTGTTGTAAGGCACTGTCTGTAAGATCAGTTGTCCCCACTTGGGAAAGGTCATCACAGTGGGGTGTGTGGACTCTTGGCATTCTCTTCTTCAAAAGGGGATAGACAGTGTCACTGGACCCTCACCAGAGTATCCAGTCACTCCTTCCTGCCACTTGAATGCAATTTTACCTGCATTGCATGGGGCCATGAGGTCTCAGGGTGTGGATAGATTTTATAGCCTGGGGAAGACTTGGGAATGAGTCTCTGTCTGCGAAGCCACGGGGTAGCTATCATCAATGCTGGTGCAGACTTTGCAGCTCAACTGCTTTAGAGTCTCCCACAATCCTGCCCATAACCCGCCATCACGTTCTATAAGGAAGCCTAATGAAATCACTGGTTTCCCTGGTGAAATCTGGTAGAATCAAACTTTGATGTGTTGGTGGAACCTTAGAAGTTGG